CGAAATTCGGAAAATGTTTAATGTCCGGTTATCGAACATTTTGCAATGTTATTTAGCATAATTGAAAAACTATTTAAAATCCACTTAAAATGTTACTGACACAGCGTGGCGTACATAAATTAATAATGGAGGTCTCCCAACGTATGCTCACAGATTTGGACCAAATTAGCGTCAATCTATCACAAATATAATTAGTATGAGATTTGCAAATGGAATTATATGCAGGTGAGTTACGACACGAAAATTAAATAAGAACTGAACTGTCAATGAGGTTTTCGCTACCCCCAGACAGATACACATTTACGGGTACCCGCAAATAAATTCTTGTCGTTATGCGGATAACGGGTACCCGACCCGTTAGTAACGGGTTACGGGCCGTTACCCGCGGCAACCCTAGTTCGACGTGTCAGTTATATTGAATTTTTGTCGCACTAACGAAAATGTATTCAACATGGTAGCCCCATGTGCCAGAAAATGAGCATAGTGAGATTCATGCAAACAAGGCGATCAGAGTATTAGCAGAAGGATTCTACAAAATAGTTACGTATGTATTTAGTCTTTTTATATTCTCGACTACTTCTACCCAAAGTTGGGATAAATATTAGAAATGCTGAGTATCCACCTTATTTAAATAATTTACAAAGCAATTCTATTGGTTATGACAGCACAGGCATCATAAATAAGGAAACATTTTTGTATCTCAAACTTGGTGGCAGACAGAATCTCCATGTGGTTTTGTTACATGTGGTACATGTTTCAAAGTTTTAGCACTATTGGTTTTATTCTTGTCCCTGTCACTGTTATGCAATGACCAAACTACTCTGAGGGCTTTACCCGACCTCAAATGAATTACTAAATAGTGACACCGTTTGCCACGTTATGTAACAAGGAAATAACAATTTATACTCAAATGAATAAAGGTTAACACGTCTTTTTCTGATGATGCCTATTTCAATCCAAAGTTGGCATCAAAGTTGTAAATCCGGCCGATCCACTTTATCAAAATGCATACATACATAGTAATTTTATTGGATACAGCGACACAGGAATAGCGAAATACTATCATATTTAAGCAAAGCGGACATACATATGTACAAAATTTAACCAAGTATTATGTAACATGTTTAAAATTTGTAGCAGTATTGACTTCATCTTGACTTGAATTGTGTTTGCCATTACCTATTCCTACATAAGCGGGTTATGTAAGAATAGGCTTGTGATAAGCCTAACATTGTGAGACAATTTTGTGCCCCTTGTCGCTGAATAAATACTTCAAGCTATGCAAATCAGGGTTCGCTACCCCGGGTTTTTGTGGGTTGGGGTTTTTGCGGGTTTTTGTGGGTTTTTGTGGGTTTTTCCGGGGTTTTTGTAAGATTTTGGGACAGATTGAAACAAAATCCCTTAAACTACAACTTAAATCAATGCTAATTAAATTGACGGATTCATCATGAAATTTGGAGAATTTTCATGTGCGACTTGAATTTCCAAGTTTTATTGCATATTTCCAAGTTTGCATGCGAAATATGAATTTTCGATTTAACAGTCCAACTCAATGATAACGCTTAAAATTGCATGTCAAAATCGTATATTAAATTACTTTTTATCTAATATATAATTTAAAGAATTTTGGTTCAACCTGCCCCAAAATCTACAAAAACCCACAAAAACCCACAAAAACCCAAAAACCCACAAAAACCCCAAAAACCCCGGAAAAACCCGCGGGGTTGGGTTTTTCTAGAAAAACCCCGGGGTTTTCCGAACCCTGATGTAAATGTCGAGCACTGAGGCGGTTTCATAACGCAGAAAGTTTACGCAACCAGTCTGCCGCGTAAATTCTTAGAACATTTGATTTTATCTGGATGGATTATTACTTATGTATGTAAGTATTACGTGAAAAGTTCTGAATATGTTATGAAATTATTCCTAAACATATATACGAACTCTTCCGCGACAGTGTAATACGGCTTACGTAAATGCATAAATTCTTGAACACAAATGAAGTTGAATTAGAGTTTGATCCACTCTCGATAAAATTGCTGCCAACCTTACCATGGATTTGTTGTAGGATTGCGTATTTCTCCGATTCTCCTTTTGGAGTACTTTGTCCATCAAAAGTAACCGCACTGTTTCCTCTTAATCAATATTGGCTGCCACGTTGGGTCACCAATATTTCAAATTCCAGGCTGGATGTGGTCCAGACTAAAATGATGAAGGCGTAAATATGTTCAGCGTCCTTGTCCTAATGGAGATCTTGCAAGCTTAATGACCACCATGGCAAGTACAGCGAAAATTTTAATTAGTTCATGGAACACGCATTAAGGCACAGTTTCCCAGAATTTTGAGGTTCACCTTACCCGAATAATATTGCTGCCTAATGTACATATGTAAATGAGGGCAAAAAATTTACAAAACTCTTTCCCAGAAACTCTGTCATATTTACTACCGAACAACTTGCTCCTGTGGGTATGTTATTAACAGAGTAAATATATAATTGGCAATTAAATCATAGCAAATAAGAATTGCAATCTTTCTAACTCTGCAGATTGGTCCGATCCTTGCGCCAAAAGTCTGCAGAGCGGTTAACCTCTTTCTCAAAATTTTTCCAATTTTCCCCTCAACTTTGCGACCAATCTGGTGACAAAGTTTGTTGGATGATTCGTAAATGGCGGTGGCGGGAATTAAACTGAGAGTAATTAAGGCAACGTCATTGATGAACATGATTGGGAATGGGACGTTTCTTTACGGAGTATGTACTCTCTCCATCAAAAGTTATCGCACTGTATTGTCTCAATTAATATTCGATCCCAAGTTTAGCACCAATATTTCAAAGTCCAGGTTGGATGTGGCCCAGACGAAAAAACAGATGATGAAGGCGTATACATATTTTTATGTCCTGAATATTTGTCCTGGTGGAGAACTTGCAAGCTTATTGACAACGATGGCAAGTATGCGGGTCATACGGGCCGATTGATTGGGTAGGTAATCATGTGGATGTGGTCGTGCAAAATTGCGAAGAAATATTGGCCAAAAATAGGCTCTTCTTACAATGCCATGGTGTGAAGTGTAACCCTCCGACTTGGTTGATATTTCGAAATTATGTGCTCCATGTCAATACAACCAACGTTTCTTCAGGCAGTTTGTGCGATGGTCAGAATTTGTCAAAATATTTGAGGTCGAAGTTGAAAAACGTGCAATTTTTAGCACGCGAAGAGAATGGAAGTTGAGTTAACTTCCTCCGCCTGTTAAAAATCGCCAGGGTTACACTTCACACCATCGCATTGTTAGTAGCAAGTCAAATCCGAGTTGGAATGCAGTCAGAATTGTTAAGGTTTAGATTTCTTTCCATAATCGGGATCTAAATAAATAAATTTTTCCCAAATTGGCATACTGTTCCACCTTTGTCATTTATTTATCATAATTTTCCAGCAGTAGTATTCATCGAAATTTGTCGAGATTCTTAAACTTTGGTATACAGATAATACTTAAACCTATTTAATCATTAACTTTGTTTACAGTTCCGTTGTTTTGGGCCGTACTTTAAGCAGTGTTAACAATTTTACTGTAAACTCCAGCATGTGCCAAACAGATGTTAAACTAACGACATTCATCTAACCCGATCCAGATTTATCAAAAATTAATCATACGCACATTTATGTATATGAGTAAGAATTGTATGATTCGACAAACACTGTTTGTCGAATCATATCAATCGATCTGTTTGACAAACAGATCCGCCGAGTATTTCAAAAATGGAAATACTGTATTTCATTATGTTCCCCACATGGAAAGAATTGAAACTTAGGTGGTCTGGGACCACCCCCTGATTATTTAGAGACCAAAAAACGAAAACATGCGGTTGACCAAAATTTAACACAGCAGTGGATTGGGACCTAACACGGAAGGATGAATGGGAAAAACTCAAATATATTTTTCTGGTCCTATGTTTGCAGGGAATGGTCCCAGACCCCACAAAGTATATATATTCTGAATCCTCTCGTCAATACCTTTCCAATGATACCCCATTTATGTGGCTCCGTGACCTTTGACATTGTGACCTTTCGGTCCCCGAAAGAAGGTCACGCAGGTCGATTTCGACTTTTTGGGTAATTTAACTTTCGTTCTACTACCAATATTCTTCAACATATCAAAAATTGGTGAAAATCCGACCGATAAACATTTCGCCATACTTTTTTCGTCACGGCGAGAAACTAATTTTTGGGTCAATTTTGCGTCGGTGCGAAAGACCCTTGAAAGTCCGAATTTCAACTCAATTCGAAACACCTATCGAGGTACTGATCCTAGGAGTGCAAAAATATTTTGTTTTTGTAATTTTATCAACCCGTTCCATAGCTATGCTGTGCCCTTTGTGCATCATATGAATCTCCCATTATTCTCATAACCCCCCGGGGAAAATTTTGGCCCCCTAAAAAATTGATAAGTTTCAATTCTTTCCATGTGGGGAACATAATGAAATACAGTATTTCCACTTTTGAAATACTCGGCGGATCTGTTTGTCGAATCATATAATTCTTACTCATATGCAACTTTCGTACTGAAAAATGACTATTTCTGACGAAATATATGTACTTGTTGCATTCCGCAAATAAAATACCTACTTAATTCCTGATAAAATTTCACTGAATTCAACGAAAACTCCGATCGCTTTATGAGTTATGTTTACCTTTGGATAATTTATCTGCCTGGTTACATACCCGCATGAAATAATAATTTATTCTTAATGATAACATTATCCACTTATGTGTAAACAAATGATATAAGTAATAGGTCAGTAAATGTACAAATGCATAAATATGTAATTTTGCGCACAATACTACTTTCCAACTTATTAGGTCACCTAGTTTTACACGTGATAACAAATACATACGTGGATGAATAGCCTATTTATTTTTGACGGCACTTATCAAATTAGGGTATCGAGATATGTAAGATATGTACGAGCAGAAGTGTGTGCAGGTATTTAAGGTGAGGTGGGCAGTATCAGTCGCAAATTTCCTCTCTTTTTGAATACAGGGAAATATACTCGGCATAAAAATGTACAAGTTGTTAATGTTTACGACTTGTGTATTAATTGGAGCCAAAGCGGCGTTGAGTGTAAAACCTGTAGACGAGGAGGTCGAGCTTCATAGGGCCCGCATGCTCCGAAACCGGATAGAAGGTAATGTCAGAAAAACAATTTGCAAACATGCAAATGTTTGGCAGAGATATTTATATATATAAAATATATTTGCATCCAAAGAGGAGAAAATGTGGATAAATTTGCAAAGTATAAAATTTACCTCTCCGGATGATTTCGATCCTTTCGTTTTCGTCTTCCCGGATGCAAAAATGTTTGCCAAACCGGCCCATTCGTAGATTGAGTTTTGCAAATTTCATATTAATTAAATTTGTGCTCGAGAGACACTAGGGTATCTCGATCCCTAAAATAAGTCAAAAATTTAATGCTCCGATATTTCATTAGATTCTGGACCCCTGTCTAAACAAATGAAGACCAATCATACAACGGTCATATTTTTGGGAGCGTTTAACGGAAAATACATCTACTACGATATGACTCCTGTAAGAATTGCTGTAGTAAACCATCAATCAAGTAATTAATTGATAAGGCTTATCTTCCTTAGCGGACACAAGATGCGGCTAGAGCGGGATGTCAACTAATGGGAATGAAGCTACTTCGAGTCGATAGAGTGGATGAAATGGAATTCATTAACAACGGAACCACAGGCTACGGTAGGTTCACTTTGTAGGAAATATGCTTTGTAAGGTATTAATTTCTTCAGGTGGAAAATTTTAAATGCTTTACGTAGTATTTACATATATTACTCACACGTTTTATAGATTACATCTGGACGGATGGTACATTAAATGAGGTTCAATCAAGTTTTCGTTGGGCGCATTCCGGTCGAGTTAATGTCCCCGACGCCATTGTTCGTTCTCCATTCACTGGTGAAATTGGGTTAGCTTTGGAGAAAAACCCCACCAGATTTTGCATTCGACCAGCCAATCAGCAACGGCATTCTTTATGTTACATTTGACACGCGGGTGCATCATGTAATTAGGTGAATAGGCCAAATTTTGTTTAGGGTTATGATAGTCGCAAAGTTATTCGAAGCATATTTGAAAAATATTTTTAGTTAGCTACTTCCTTACGTATACACCCCTTATTTGTAGATAATTAACCTGTAAGCACGGAAATAAATAAATACAAATATGTATGTATTACTTATTTACCGAAATCCTTATTCCCATATACACTTCGTTCATTTTAAAACCTGATTTAGGTATTTAATGTTCTCAGTAGGACTGGAGAGTTACCCGTGCCCATGGAATTTACGCATTTATGGCATAGGGCATTTGCCCTATTTTCCCGACATTCAAATTTATGCCCTCATAAGCTCAATGTTGCAACAGATGCCTAGGGCATTTATGCCTTCCGCAAATGCCCAAAATTCTGGACAAATGCCCAAAATTCCATTCGGATGAACCCTAACGTACAGACTTGCACCATTTCATTATTGGTATTATGTTAATCACACGTGCATACTTTATATGCTATTCATTGCCCTCCGCCACCCTCACCACGCACCAGATCCGGATCATACCCGACAACCGAATAAAAATATCAGCGTCCACATCTCCCCCGTCCTCATCATCCGTCTCGTGACTGACAATGCAAGTTTTTTACGTGTACAACTCAGATCTGGTTGGGACCAATTTAATTTTGTTCACCACCAAAAATAAGCATACCCGTATTTTTTCATTTTTCATAATGCGCTAATTTGAGCGCGAGGCGCGAATTTCAAAACATTTTTCAGCCAAAACCTCGGTTTTTAAAAATTCTGTAAATTTTCGAATTTTAGCGCGAATCGAAAAATTCGAAAACATGTCTGTTCAGAATGACTTACCTGACTTATGAAAAATCCAATTGTCTCGAAATTTGATTTTCAAAATTTTTTTCCTGTTTTTGAAATTTATTAAAATGATAAACTAATTCAAATTTTTAATTTTTCAAAAAATAATGCATTTGAATTTTTATTAGTAATGTCGATCGGAGTGGAGAGACAATATCTCCGCTCTCATGACTCTCGCCCGATCGTGAATATTAACGTGGACTGAGTCTCGTCGGAAAATCCAGCCTCACCATCATTAGAAATGGGTTCCTTCGTTTTCCCGATTGTACTTCTTGCCCTTTACCGAATTTTGGTACAAATTCTTCAAAACGCTTTAACTTCTGGAATTGTTTCAAACCCGTGACGCAAAAAGGATGACAAATGTTCGTCGGTTAGATTTAAGCAAATTTTTAATATGCTGCAAATCTTTGGTGGTAGAAGAATAATGAAATGAACCACTCTGTTAACGGAATTACAACGAACCAGTAATCAAGCACTTTATATTTATTACCGAACTACTTGCTCCTGTGGGTATGTTACTAACACAGTAAAAATATAATTTGCAATAAAATTGTAGCAAATAAGAATTGCAATCTTTCTAACTTTGCAGATTGGTCCGAGTCTTACGCCAAAAGTTTGTAGGGCGGTCAACCTCCTCCTCAAAATTTTTCCAATTTTCCCATCCACTTTTCGACCAATGTGGAGACGAAGTTTGTTGGATGATTCGTAAATGGCGGTAGCGGGAATTAAACTGAGAGTAATTAAGGCAACGTCATTGATGAACACGATGGGGAATTGGACGTATCGAAAGATAGGGAGGAAATTATAAAATCGAATGGCCGCAAAAGAGGACATGATGCACACGGCAGAAGGAACTAGAACGGACAAGATCGGAAGTAAAAGGGGGGTTGAGGCATGGTTGAAGTAAGAGATAAGGATCTGGATCCCTTGGAAGGTGGTGACCATCTCAAAAAGTCTGATTGTCCTGTGACTCGATCTGTAAAATGGTTCAATGTAATTGCCAAGTTTAAGGTTAAAGTTGAATGATTTCTTTTAAAAGGAAGTAAAGTAATAAAAATCATCTACATAAATAACTAATAAATATTTTAATCTGACAATGGAACCTTTTTTCAAGCTACACGAGATAAGCTTATTGACCTATGCTGAAAAATCAAGCTAAAAATTAGAAATGACGTGGTAATTATCTTTCCGTGTTGAATGGGCACTTGGGGGTGAAATATTTGAGGGCAAAGTTCACAGTAGCGGCCTGCTTTTTTCTCAAGCGGGCGAGCGGAGCAGTGAAAATATTCACCTTCGAGGTCAATCCGCTCCCTTCATCGCACGCATTTATAGTAAATTTACTATAAATATATATATGCTAAATTATAAGTTATAATTTATTGAACAAATCGTCACTTTTTTATTACGGATTGGTGGATACTAGGACTTTAAAAAGCAAAAATATTCGTAAATATATAAAAACTTACGTATATGAAGATTTACGTATATGAAAATTTATGAGATTGTGAAATTTTGTCAAAAATAATATGCATTGAATGAAGTGCGAGCGTGCGATGAAGGGAGCGGATTGACCTCGAAGGTGAATATTTTCACTGCTCCGCTCGCCCGCTTGAGAAAAAAGCAGGCCGCTACTGTGAACTTTGCCCTCAAATATCTGACCCCCAAGTGCCCATTCAACACGGAAAGATAATTACCACGGCATTTCTAATTTTTAGCTAGATTTTTCAGCATAAGCTTATCTCGTGTAGCTTGAAAAAAGGTTCCATTGTGAGTATGAATCAGTTAAGTGACCCAAAACTACATAGATGTACCAGCACACGTTGGGTGGGTAGTTTTAAAAGTTGGGTGACCTAAAAGGCAGTGCTTTTTACTCTGCACACACTGCTTATAAGATTCCCAATTGCTTGCGTTGTCCAGGGTACACACCATGTTTTTAGAATTTATTAGGACCCGGATTCATATTTACGTGTAAAACTCATATTTCGCCTTCATCTAAAGGGTGACCCTAGTCTCTGGTCTGATCCTGGGCTCGACAAGCAGTTAAAAACCTTCCCTTGTTAGTACTAAAAAATCTGCTTAACCTTCGAAGGTGGTCCATCCAAAATGCTGCCGGAAGTAGGGTCGGCATGATTAAAAATGCTTCCATAGCCACCATAAAAGCATGGGACATTTTTGCGTATACTTCAAAGACCAGAAACGAATATTGCGTCATTTTTAATCTTGGCGTCGTTTATTAGAGAATAAAAGTATTGAGAGCTTCCAGGAGCCGCAATAAACATGACGGAAAGGGCCATCACATAAGAGAACGCCACCCAAAGTACTACGAGGAAATGTACATCGATCGAGTTTAAATTTCCAGCTAATTTTGGCATCCCAGCTTCCGGATATTCTGAAAAGGAATTGAGCCATGCAAATTCGTAATGTATTACTTTTTGGAGAAAAAGATTATTCTTCGAGCAATAAGGATTCTTTGGGAATTAAGTTTGTCCTCAAATTTTGAAAATCAAACGTTATTCATTCATTTGATTAAGTCAATCTATTAGGGCATCCAAAACCGGCTTTTCATATTTTTTAGACATGAGCTAGCCGAAAACAGGATTTAATTGTCCTACATAAATACTTCATTATGTTTCAACATCCGGTATCAATTAAGATATTTACCCTTTAACGAAAGAAATATAAAATGCTAACTGAACGGCCATTTTTTTTCTTGTAAAAAAATAACATTTGACAGAAACATTTCTTCTCTTTTTATACTAACCTTTCTGGAAATGTCTTGCCAAGAGTCGCACCCCTTTAAACAACCCGACAACTTCTTTCTTCTTGATCAACGCATTATGAAATGAAACTAATGCCCAGATTGTTACAAGTATCCAAATCCAGAGCCACACAATTGCCTCAAATGAACGATTCGACTCCAATTCTTGGGATTGTTGAACAATTCGCCACAGCAAGAAACACAATTGGATCGCGGTAATTAAAACAGCCAGCATGAAAGAAATAGGCCTCTTTAAATTAGAGCAGATGGAGATACACTTCTGCTTAGCGTCCCAGTCGTAAGGTGTACTTCCGAGCGACGAGTAGATTCGCATCGAAATTCGGAGAATGTTTAATGTCCGGTTATTGAACATTTTGCTGGATTGACAATGCTAATTAAAATCGATCACATTTATCGAGGAAGAGTGGAGCCAACTACAATAGTAAATGTTCGGCGGGAATTAAACCCATAATATTGTTACCCCCACGGCTGAGGATTTGCCGCCAAATTGAATGAAATCTGGAAATTCACGGTGCAGTCGTACTTTTATCTTACGACAAAAGTATTCATAATCCTAAATCATGACAATATTTTGACAATGATTTCTAGAGTAGACAAACTCTAATGCAGTATTTAGAACTTACAATGTAATGGTGTGAAGTGTAACCCTCCGATTTGGTGGACATTTCGAAATTGTGTCAACACAACCAAGGTTTCCTCAGGCAGGTTGTGCGATGGGCAGAACTTGGCAAAATATTTGAGGTCAAAATTGAAAAACGGGCGATTTTTACCAGGCCTGGGAAGCAAACTCAAATAACATTCCCTTCTCGTGCTAAAAATTGCACATTCTGCAACTTTAACGTCAATATTTTGCCAAATTCTGCCCATTGCACAAACTGCCTGAGGAAGTTTTGGTCATATTGACATGGACCACATAGTTTCGAAATTTCTTTCAATTAACCAAATCGGAGGGTTACACTTTACACCATCGTGTTGTTAGATTGTTAGTTTTTCTTCCTAGATTAGGACCACCTTGGAAAATAAAAACAAAGGATATCTCTTTGATGCTCTGATTTTAGAAATAAGTTTCGCCTGCTTGGACCTGCCACCAATCAAGTCTGTCTTAACCCTTTAACGTGTTTGATTAACGACAAGAAAATGCATTAACTCGGGGACACTATAAGTATGCTGTGGTCATGGCGCGGGAGGAGAAATTCAGGAGTTTTTAATAAAACTCGAAAAACTGAAAAATCACAAATTTAACATTGAGTTGTGTAGGGAAATATCCAAATTTTCGGGAAGAAAATCTTCAAATTTAGCATTGTGTTGGCATAGGAGAAATCCCTCAAAATTGCAACAAATTTTAGGTCGCGGAGAGAAAATGGTGAAAATCAATGACCCCCAAGAAACGACAATTGTCGTCCTTCCGCGCCATGACCACGATTTGTCAGGACGACTTTTGTCGTACTCCCGAATTAAATTTCAATTTCTTATAAAACGATTATTGTCGTCGTTACAGTTTAAAGGGTTTAACAAGGCCATCCGACTAGCAA